GAAGCAACAAAACCACATACCTTCAAAATCTAATCACAGTATAGAGTTCCTATCCATTATCCATTTATCCATTTATCTACTGGATATCCAGATCTGAATTTATTTAGATATCCATTTTACTATTGATATCCGAATAATTATCTGAATATTAATCGGATTATCTGGATATCAATAGTAAATAGATATCTGGATAAATTCAGATATAGATAAATGGATGATAGATTTATCCAAATTGGAACTCTATCACAGTATAACAACTACCTATATAACAAACACTTATAACACAACACAACTTAGAATACTAAACACTTATAGCTGCCTTTGCAGCTTACCAGATCAACAACATAATGATAATATTTGTTTACCTTTTGGAAAAGCAATTGGAAAAATATCTCTATGGACTATTATATGGATTAAATATAGTACCCCAACTAACAATATTTTATATTATTAAATCTAGGTGAGTTTTAACTATTTTAGTAGGTTTAGGTTGCAAATGAATTAGAATTTCTAGATTAAATAGTTTCTGATAGTCTGAGTTTCATTCTTGTAAAAATTTTTGTAAATTGGCTTTGATCAGAGAAACCCATAGTGGATTCTCAATACAAAATATTAATAAAGATAAAGGCAAAACCTCATCTTAAAAAAAAAAAAAAAATAAAAATAATAATTATATCTGTAGATTTAGATATATTTAAAAGACGATTTCTATTTGTACACTAGTGTATGAAATACAGGTATATAGAAAGTCAATCAGGTTACACAATCAAGAAGTGTTCACTGAACATGACTAAACATTGAATCTAAATATAGTGATAAAGTTATTAGAATTTTTTTAATTAGTTAACAAGTCACAACTAATTTCTTAATCGATTAATTGAATTTTTTTTTAACATTTGATTTTAACACACCTATATATTTAATTTTTCATTTAGAAGCCATTCTCTAAACAATCGCCAATCTGAAAGATATGATATTGGTGTATCACGATGATTTTCAAGTTCACTAATGAACCAATTTGCAAATTCTAAATGTGCTGCATGTCGATCTAAATATTGTTTAGCAGCACATAGTTTATAGCTCCACCATCCTCTAATTGGTAATTGGTACTGCGAGAAATGGAATCCTAATAATTCATTATATAGTTTTTGGATATATTCCGATCTCATTTTAAGAGGCTTACCCTTGTTACTTGAACCATACCCGTCATGTAATAACCATGCTAAATATAATAAATTAAAGGGTTTAGGATTTCTTAAAAAACTAATTGATGAAGGTAATTTTCCAAATGCTTCCTCTTCAAAATGTGTTAGAACAATATGCATTATATGCATTCCACAACCAATTTGTGTTGCATTTATATTCACTTTTTTGTTAAATAGAACTATTGCTCTCTTATGGTTACCAGACATATACGGCATATTATCAGTTATCCATGTTAAGCATTTCTTTGGATCAAGTCCGTGGTTTATAATTGTATCAAGAACATTGTCTGCTATAAACTTGCCAGTATATTTGTGTAAATTTTCAAGGTTTGTTGTAGCAACTAATGGTATATTATTTTTATAATTCCAGAACATAATATACATAACAAAATTTTTAACATCACCACGAGTTGACTCATCGACAAGGATTCTGAAACTTGAGCTTTGGGTAGCTTGATTTATTATTGACTCAGTCTCAATCTGTGAGACTTCTTTATGCCAAGTACTTAATGTAGATACTGTTAGCTAATTTTACAGAGGCTCATCTACCAAAAATTCGTAAACAAGGTGCAATGATTCTACGGCAGCAGTTAATGAGGTTTGTCTAATTTGTGATATTTTTTTGGAAAGCTAAATCATTTTGGGGGAATATTCTTTATTATTTGGTTTAAATAATACATTAATTTGATGCTTGAATTCTTCATTAGTTATCTGTTTTCACTTATGTATTAATGATCTTATAGTTGAAACTCGCTTTTCCACTTTATCATTGAGATGCCGATTTGAACTACTTATGGACTGAACCTTATGTATTAGTTTTTTATTACTCTTTGATAATTTTTGGTTTACTGATTTTAGATTTGCATTCTTAGTTTTTAACGATTCGATAAAATTTTTATGATTACTGAGATCTGTGATAAATTCAAAGGCTTTCTTTTGAAGGTAAACTGAGATGATTTCATTTTTATGTTTTCCTTTTGGATTTCGTATTAACTCAATTAGCTTTAATGCATTTTTGTTTTGTGGTTCTGGCATTTTACGAATGGTTTGAAACACCTTTTCTTCTTTTGTATGATTAACTATGTTAGTAATGATTTTATATATTTGTGGAAGAAATTTGGGATCAATTTGAGGTATGATGTTATAAATTTGTTGAACTTTATTTCGTTGAGATCGCATGTATGTCATATAGTATTTTTGTTTTGGTAATTTTGGCATGATATAGATATGATTGATTTACTAATACTATGTTTTAATAATTCTAAAAAAAATGTGCGCAAGATTCAAATATATATAATTTATTAACTGAATAATTAAAACAAAGCTAAACTAGATATATTAATTAAGAAATTA